CCTAAAGTTCTTCACACATTCCCCATAGCAATTAGAATAAAATGCACACCCCCTTCAATAGCCTACAAAACCTCTCTCTGCATGTGGTCTGGCCTTTGCCTAACTTTCTAATTTCATCTGCAACTATTCTTTTCCCTACTCACTATGCTTAGCATAGAGGTCTCCACACCACAGCCCACAGGCAAAAGGCAGCCTACTGCCTGTTTTTGTGCAGCCTCTGAACCAAGAATGGTTTTTATATTTTTAGATGGTTAGAAAAAAGAAAAGCAATATTTTGTGACACATGAAAATGAGATGCAATTCCAACTTCAGTGTTGGTAAGTGAAGTTTTGCTGCAACACAGCCATGCCCATTCATGTATGTATTGTCCGGGGTTGCTTTTAGGCTAAAGAAGTAGCTCTTATTTTTTAGAGCTCAGCTGTTGCAACCAAGGTTAAATGGGCCACAAAGCTAGAAATACTTGCTAGCTGGTCCATCACCAAAGAAGGTTGCCGACTTCCGCTTTAGCCATACTGAAGTTCTTTCTGTTGCTGAAACTCACCCTGTGCATTCCTTCCTCAGGGCTGCCTGTTTCCCAGTCTCTATTCCTGGTTTGTTCTTCTCTAGTTTCTCACATGGCTGGTTTGTTCTCATAAAGTCTAGCTTAACTTGGACAAAACCAGGTCATATACCATCAGACTGTATCTCCTTTCACAAGTGACCGGTTTCCAAACCCTGCCTAGAGGGATTTGGTTTCAGAGTCTCTCATTTTTATCTGGCAGTAGTGAGGGAATGAAAAGCTTTCTTGAGGCCACGGTGGGTTCTGAACTCCATCAGCCTAGTGAGTTCTCCTGCAACTGGCATAAATCAAACTTTTCCAACCCCGCAGCCCAGGGGCTGCATGAGGCCCAGAATGGCTTTGAATGTGGTCCAACACAAATTTGTAAACTTTCTTGAAACATCATGAGATTGGGCTGGGTGTGGTGGCTCATGCCTGTAATCCCAGCACTTTGGGAGGTCGAGGCGGGCACATCACCTGAGACCAGGAGTTCGAGACCAGCCTGGCCAACATGGTGAAACCCCATCTATACTAAAAATACAAAAATTAGCTGGCATAGTGGCATGCACCTGTAGTCCCAGCTACTCGGGAGGCTGAGGCATGAGAATTGCTTGAACCCAGGTGGCAGAGGTTGCAGTGAGCTGTGATCATGCCACTGAACTCCAGCCTGAGTGATAGAGTGAGACTGTCTCAAAAAAAAAAAAAATCATGAGATCGGCTGGGTGAAATTGTTCATGCCTATAATCCCAGCACTTTGGGAGGCCAAGGAGGACAGATCACCTTAGGTCAGGAGTTCGAGACCAGCCTGGCCAACATGGCAAAATCCTGTCTCTACTAAAAATACAAAAATCAGCTGGGCGAGGTGGCTCATGCCTGTAATCCCAGCTACTCGGGAGGCTGAGGCAGGAGAATCGCTTGAACCTGAGAGGCAGAGGTTGAGGTGAGCCGAAATGGCACTATTGCACTCCAGCCTGGGCAACAAGAGAGAAACTCAAAAAAAATGCATCATGAGATTTCTTTTATAATCGTTTTTTAGCTCATCAGCTATCGTTAGTGTCAGTGTATTTTGTGTGCCCCAAACCAATTCTTCTTCCCAGGTAAGAAAAAGCCAAAACAGTGGACACCCCTGATACAAACGGACGTTCCTCCCTCTTGCACCCAGGAGACTAAGAAGCTGAAGGAAGAGGCTGTGTGTTCTGTATCCCTGACTCGGGGGAACAAACAAGATGTCGCTGAAACTCTCCCCATGGTCATTTCAGCCACATCTCCATCACGTTATAGCCAGCAAGCCCGCAAGCACAACCCAGAATTCTTTTCTTTTTTCCCACTCGGGAAGAATGCACCAACACATTTGCATTTATTTATTTATTTTTTTTAGCAAATGACAAAGACCCAGTTTACCAGCTTTAGTTTTTGAAACCTAAGCTTAACATTACATATTTAAACAATTGTCAAAACTAAGTTGCCAGCATTCATGCACAGCTAGAAAACATCCCGTAATTTATATTAAACCAGAACTGTATTACCATCAATGCGTTAATATCTTCCACCACTAAATACTGAAAGAAATGGAAATTATTTCTGTAGAAGATTCGTCCTGGCAATGTTAACTTCACAGCCGGCCGACACTACGTGGCTCACGTTTCAGACACAATGAAAAGCAGGTCCATGCTGGTGTTCGTGTTCCATCTTGTCCTACGCTAAAGAGTCAAGACTCACCTTGGAGTATGTTTAATAAAAAAGCAAAGTGCATACAGAGATTTACAACAATTTTAAAGACAAAAAAAAATGGTCCTATTATGTGGTCCTAACAATAAATTCAAAAGTCTATGACAAATAGAGGCTCCAATGACCTGCTTATAAATACTTTAGGTACAATTGTACTGAAAGTCGAGTTCATTTGAAATCTTCAAAAAAATGTTCCCGTTAATCCTCAAATGGTGCTTGTTATAGTTTAACGCTTCTGTTAAGTGCACGCGTTGAATTAGTTGTTATCCAAGCGCAGCAGCTGCTCCTTACCATTTATTGTTAAGGACTTTACTGGCTGTCTTCTTCAACTTCTACTCTTTCTTGACCATTCTCGACAATTCTCTTTGTGGTGATTTTTCTGCCATTAACTATTTTAGTTGAAGTTGATATCGGTTTGAAGTTGCCCAACCCACTACCGCCAAATGACGCAGAAGAAAATGAAGTGAGGCCTCCGTGACCCAGTGACCCAAATGAATCCTGTATCAAAAGAAGGAAATGCACTTCCAAAAGATGGAAATCCACTGAACGTGGAGAAGAACGACCCCATCCCTCGGCTTCTGCTTCCTCAGGGACCCCTTCGATTCCCAAAGAAGTCCTCAAAAAAGTCTTCAAAGAAGTCAAATGAAAATGGGTCCCTTCCACCAAAAACTCCCTGAAGACATCATCTGGGTTACTGGATGTGAAGCCAAATTCAAATAACTGTCAAAATGACTTCCACCTCCTCCTCCACCATTTAGACCTTCCTTGCCGTATTTGTCAGAGATTCCTGTTTCTCAGCATCCAACAGCACCTCATACGCCTCCACTACTTGTTTGAATTTTCTCTCTGCTGCCTCTTTATTCTCAGGATTTTTATCTGGGTGCCACTTCAGTGCCAATTTATGATATGCTTTTTTAATATCCTCGGGTGAGGCATGTCTCTGCACGCCTAGAACTTCATAGTAATCTACCGTGTTTTAAGAGATTGTTGGATAGGTCCGAGGACGAAGGCGGTCGGGATGCAGGGGAGGCGGGGTGATGGCCTGAATCTCCCCACGGCTCCAGCACTGCTGCCACAGCCCAGAATTCTTAATGGAACTGTGGACGTGGGACTTCCAACAGAAGATGAGGTTTGCTTTTGATTACAGGGCACTGGTTCACTAAAGAGGACATCAGTAGGCCCTCTGGATAAAAGCCACATTTATCCTGATGTGGAGAGAGGTCTTCCGAGCTGAGGTCAGTGCACACTGTCTACACCACGTGTAGTGCAGTGTGGTGTAGACAATGTGCACTGACTTCAGCTCGGAAGACCTCTCTCCACATCAGCTGCAGGTGCTCCAAGTCACCCACGCAGTCTGAGCCTGTCTCCTCATCTGTAAAATACCAACCGGCCTAATCCTCTTAGAGATTGTTTAAGGATCTGGTGAGAAAATATTTTTACAACTGCTCTTTAAACGAAGTCTTAAAGAAATACAAAATATTTTACTCGCCCTTTCTCAATGGCATGAACACAAAATTCTGCTTAAGAAATAGCATCATGAGGCCAGGCTCGGTGGCTCACGCCTGTGATCCTAGCACTTTGGGAGGCTGAGGCGGGTAGATCACCTGTGGTAAGGAGTTCCAGACCAGCCTGGCCAACATGGTGAAACACCATCTCTACTAAAAATACAAAAATTAGCTGGGCATGGTGGCGGGCACCCATCCTGTAATCCCAGCTACTCAGGAGACTGAGGCAGGGGAATTGCTTGAACCCGGGAGATGGAGCTTGCAGTGAACCGAGATCACACCACTGCACTCCAGCCTGGGTGATAGAACAAGACTCGGTCTCAAAAAAAAGGAGAAAAAAGAAAAGGAATACCACCATGGACAACTCCCATGATTTTGTGAGCATCTCGAGAGCATTTAATCAAGTTGGCACGTCCTTAAAGGTATTATTTTAAATATATATAGGAGAAAAAGATACATGTGAGGTTTGAGGGATGTCGCTTAGAATGCAAATACATTCTGTGACATGCGGGGTGGGGGCCGACTGTGGAGGCAGAGACGAGAGAGGGAGATTCTGAAAAAGGAAGCTGCCAGGATAACAGATCGAAGCCAGACCGGGAGAGAAACGCATCCAGACCTCCTGGGTAAGGATAACTCTCACATTTACATGACAGTTTTGATTTAGAAAGTGTATGTTTTCCAAAGCAATTCGGTGAATGGGGTTCACGATAGGAATCGTTGCAGGGTTACTGAGTACAGCGAATACCAAGAGGAGTTTCATGACAAAGGCTACTGTCTGAGGGCCTCTTTTTTTTTTTTTTTTTTTTTTTTGAGACAGTCTCACTCTGTCACCCAGACTGGAGTGCAGTGGTGCAGTCATGGCTCACTGCAGCCTTGACCTCCCAGGCTCCAGCAGTTCTCCCGCCTCAGCCTCCCAGGTAGCTGGGACTACAGGCGTGCGCCACAATGCTCAGCTAATTTTTTACTTCGAGACAGGGTCTCACTCCATCACCACAGGAGTGCTGTGGTACAGTCACAGCTTACTGCAGCCTCAAACTCCTGGGCTCAAGCAATTCTCCCTCCTCAGCCTTTGGAGCAGCTGGGACTACAGGTGTGCAACCCCAAGCCCACCTAAATTTTCATTTATTTTTCAGAGATGGGGTCGCACTTTCTTGCCCAGGCTGGTGTCAAACTCCTGGCCTCAAGCAGTGCCCCTACCTCAGCATCACTAGGATTACAGGCATGAACCACCATGCCTGAAGGAACTTTTGAATTGGCATTTAGAAGAAAATGCAGCAAGTCCTGAGAGACTGAGGACTCTGCATGGCTCAAGGCCTGGTCTGAACATAAACTGTATCTCTATTAAGGCCCACGTGAGGGCCCCGAGGTGCCCGGCCCTGGAGTCGGGGGATGTGGGTCCCAGGCAGTGCTCTGACGGGCCTTGGCTGAGCGAAGCTGCTGTCTGGGAGTCAGTTTTCTGCTTGGTAAAATTAGGACAATATGCTCTCTTTCGGGGCGGTGGAGTGGGGGGGGGGGTGTGAGAAGCAGAAGTAATGCATGAAAAGCAATCTGCACCGTACCCTGCATGAAAGCAAGCTGCTGTTCCTATTCAAATGTGCCAGGCCAGTTACTGCAGAGATGTACACTTCATGAAAACACCGTCACCTTCACCAGGCTGCAGAGATACAGTGTTACGGCACAGCTGAGATGAGAAGCTGACTGACCCTGTTAAGAGGACCTGGACATGACTCACAGTAAGAGCACGACAGGAAGAGGGGGAAACACCTGCTTCCCCGGGTGCCAGGGCGTACAGAGAATCTTCACTTGGCTGAAGTCTCACAGTGAGTCTGGGGTTTAATTCAGAGGACTGGAGAAGGCTGGTGCCATGGGAATTGTTCAGAATGGGGGTCCAGGGCCAACAGAGAGAACCCTGACTGTGTTCAGGAAGAAAGGCGAACCTTTGAGCCAGAACAGCTGAGCTAGCTGTTCTGTCGGAGAGGTAGGAGTTACATGCAGAAAGTGGGCCATGAGCCGGGAGAGGCCTGGTGAGGCGGCTATGCCCACACTGATGATGCAGGTGCCTGGGGCCAGGGCGTGGCAGGGGCACTGGCTCATGGCACAGGGCCCAGCCTTATCACCCTCTCCACCCATCACGCCTGTCCACACCTTTCTGTGCGGGTCCTTGCCCAGCCTGGTCACACTCCACTGGCATCCACGGCTCTGCTCTTTTCCTCACCTGCAAAGGGCAAAACAAAGCAGGCAGCAAGGTTAGGCCAGGTGAGAGGCCACTCACCCTGGCCAGTAAGTGTGGGTGAGCCAGGGCAGGCCAGCGCCCCAGCAATCCAGAAGTCCCCTTGGAACAGATGGAAAAGGCAGTTCCACCCAGCAAGAGCCAATCCTCTTGCCCACTTACCAATCCCAGTCTCTCCACACAGACCTCCAAAGCAACTCCCTAGGCATCTTCAAAGCCAGAGACCCATGCGCTCTAATGAGAGACAGCCCCGGGTTCCACTTCATCTCCTTGAGACTACAGCTTGTGCTTGCTCTCCCCACAGCCACCTTCCCTTCCCGACTGCCAGCGGCAGCCGGCAGATCGCCATTTCCATGCGGCAGCTCAATGTGCTCAGCCAATGCATAAAGGAAGCCAGGGGAAGGTTATCAATAAATAATGGCTCAAACAGTGAGGGTGTGAAAGGTGAATACTGGATGTTTTCCGGGAGTTTGCGTAGTCATTCATATACATGTAGACTTTGGAAATTTCCAAGAAAGAAATAACAGCATGTGGCATGTCTCAAACTTGATCGTTCTATAGAAAATATTATGAGCTGACTGTGCACGGCAGCTCACGCCTGTAATCCTGGCACTTTCCAAGATCACAAGGTCAGGAGATCAAGACCATCCTGGCCAACATAGTGAAACCCTGTCTCTACTAAAAATACAAAAATTAGCTGGATGTGGTGGCACGTGCTTGTAGTCCCAGCTATTCGGGAGGCTGAGGCAGGAGAATCACTTGAACCTGGAAGTTGGAGGTTGCAGTGAGCCAAGCACTGCACTCCAGCCTGGAGACAGGGTGAGACTCCATCTCAAAAAAAAAAAAAAAAACGAAAATGTTATGAGCTCAACTGTGCTTCCCCAAAACTCATACATTGGAGCTCTAATCCCCAGTACCTTAGAATGTGACTGTATTTGAAGATAAGGCCTTTAGAATGCAAATCAAGGTATAAAATGGGGTCATGAAAGTGGGCCCTGATCCAGTATGATGGGTGTCCTTATAAGAAGAGGGGATTAGGACACAGAGAGAGACGCTGCATGTGTGCAAGCTCAGATGAATGACCATGTGAACACACAGCGAGAAAGCAGCCGCCGTCACCTGCGAGCCAAGGAGAGGATTCAGAGAAACCAAGCCTGACAATACCTTGGTCTTGAACGTCCTGCCTCCAGAACTCAGAAATCTATTTCTCTTCTTAAAGATCCTGGTCTACGGTATTTTGTTACGGCAGCCCTAGCAAACTCATGCAGAAAACCTCTTAGGATCTGCATGATCAGTTTAGGATGTGCTGAAATAGTATTATTAATCATTTCAATGCTATATTACTTATTTTTATTTTTTTGAGATAGTGTCTTGCTCTGTTGCCCAGGCTGGAGTGCAGTGGCATAATCTTGGCTCACTGTGACCTCTACCTCCCAAGTTCAAGCAATTCTTCTGCCTCAACTTCCCAAGGAGCTAGGATTACAGGTACCCACCAGCACACCTGGCTAATTTTTGTATTTTTTTTTTTTTAGTAGAGACAGAGTTTCACCACATTGTCCAGGCTGGTCTTAAACTCCTGACCTCAAGTGATTCACCTGCCTTGGCCTCCCAAAGTGCTGGGATTACAGGCGTGAGCCACCGTGCCTGGCCCAGTACTATTTTATTAAAGTTTTATTCTATGTGTCTATTTTTATTTATTGGTTGTCTAATGTCACTGATTTCTAAGCACTAACTTTCCCCACCTTTGGTTGAGTTCTTTGCATCTGATGCACATAAATCCTGAAATAGTACCTACTCTATAAATAGACAAACGCTTCCTGTGCATTCTCAGCCTGGACTCATAATCCCTCCCCGGCCAGCTCCTGGGATGGCTTTGTACCGTGTCAGCGTACCTAGGCTGGAACTATGTTTCTCAGAAAATCTGACCAAAGTGTGGAAGGTAGAGTGAAACAGCAATCATGTTTACAGTCAAAAAGTCTGCGTAGGGCCCAGCACAGACAGCGCTGTGGTGGCTCACACAGGATGCCCTACACTCACTGGCTCCATTTATTGTTACAGGGCAGCGGCTGTGCCTGCGTTTCCTCAGCTCCCACCAGAACCGCTTCTTCAGCTTCTCTGAATCCCGGGTTTATGAGCAATTCCATGGTGAAGGGCACTAGCTCTTCTGTAGATCATCTCCATTGTCAGAGCTGGCATGCGGGAGGTCTGAGGGGCTGGCACAGAAGGCGTCAGTTTCCATCCACCCTCAGGGGTTCTGTCTCCTCCCTGCAGGTGCGGCTCATGCCCGCCCTCTCCCACTTCACACCCATGTACCAGCCCTGCTGACTTCAGGCACACTTCAGGACACAGGGGCAGCAGGTTGCAGCTCTCATAACAATGTGTATCCTAATCTCTTTAATAAATTCCTGCTTTTGGCCGGGTGTGGTGGCTTCTGCCTGTAAACCCAGCACTTTGGCAGTCCAAGGCGGGCAGATCACCTGAGGTCAGGAGTTTGAGACAAGCCTGGCCAACATGGCAAAACCCCATCTCTACTTAAAAAAAAAAGAAAAAGAAAAAGAAAAGGTCGGGCACGGTGGGTCATGCCTGTAATCCCAGCACTCTGGGAGGCTGAGGCAGGTGCATCACGAGGTCAGGAGTTCAAGACCAGTCTGGCCAAAATAGTGAAACCCAGTCTCTACTAAAAATACAAAAACTTAGCTGGGTGTGATGATGTGCGCCTGTAATTCCAGCAACTCAGGAGGCTGATGCAAGACTCCATCTCAAAAAAAAAAAAAAAGTTAGCTGGCCATGGTGGTGGCACCTGTAATCCCAGCTACTCGGGAAGCTGAAGCAGGAAAATTACTTGAACCTGGGAGACGGAGGTTGCAGTGAGCTGAGATCATGCCATTGCACTCCAGCCTGGGGGACAAGAGCAAAACTCTGTCTCAAAAAAATAAATAAGTAAATTCCTTGTTTTGCTCAAAGTGGTTTTGCGTCTGTAATCAAACTTTAATGATACAGATGTTGGAACCATCGCAGGTGGCACTGGCTTTGGGACCGGGCAGTGAATAGAAGGTAGAAGAGCTTTGAGAAGTGTGTCAGCGAGGGGTTCAATAAACATGACGAAAATATGAATGAAACCTGGAAGAGAGAAGACAGGTTTATGTACTGGTGAGAAGTTCAGCAACGCTGAAACCCAGGATAACTTGGAAAACAGAAAATGCATCAATGAGCTGCATGACTGTGTGGAGGGAACTGACAGCACGCGGGCCACCTAGCTTCTGGATGCTGCAACAAAGTAAGAGAGAATGGGCCGGGCGCGGTGGCTCATGCCTGTAATCCAGCACTTTGGGAGGCCAAGGCAGGCAGCCCACGAGGTCAGGAGTTCAAGACCAGCCGGGCCAACATGCTGAAATTCCGTCTCTACTAAATATACCAAAATTAGCCAGGCATGGTGATTGGCACCTGTAATCCCAGCTACTCAGGAAGCTGAGGCAGGAGAATCGCTTGAACCCAGGAGGCAGAGGTTGCAGTGAGCTGAGGTCACACCACTGCACTCTAGCCTGGGTGGTGGAGTGAGACTCTGTCTCAAAAGAGAAAAAAAAAAAAAAAAAAAAAAAAAAACAGAGAGAGAGAGAGAATGAGCATGAGCTAAGGAACCAATGGTGAAATATAAAGGTGGCATGATTTGCAGGATTTGAAAAAAGAAAAAAAAAGATTTCCCATTCCCAGCCTCTCCAAATGGCAAACACCTCAAAAATTAAGAAATGGCTTGTGGTTCTGGTTCCAGTTAAGATAGAGAGAGCCAATGCCATGTAGCTCCCCAACGGGTTCCTTCTAAGAATCCCAGAGTGGATATGTAAAGCAACTTAATAGGAAATCTTCAAGGAAATAATAGCAGGTGGGTTGGAGAGGGACAGCCAAACTCCAAGAAAGATGAATCAGGTGGGGAATTTCCTCTTTTTCCCCTTTCATGTCTCTTGACATAGATGCAGGGCAGCCAAACCCAGAACTGCTTAAGTGGTTAAGACAGGAAAAGTTTCAGGAGAAATTCTCCTTCTAGTCAGTGAAATAGGAACAGGGGTGTCTGCACGGCAGAGCGAGTGGGGGACATCTGGCTTTACTCCATCCTGACCTGTCCTGATGCCATAAAGGAGAAAGACTGAGGGGTCTTTGGGGAGGAGATGAGTATATTGCAGAGGGAAGGGTGTGGGTGACTGCTGCCAGAGGACAGGTTGGTGGACCACATTATCCAAACACGGTGCAAGAGCACCCCCCAGCCCACCTGCTCTTTTCATAAAGTGATCTTGTCATCTCCCATCAAGAGGTGAAGTCTGTGTCCCTTCCCCTTGAACCTGGATGGGCTTTTGTGCCTGCTTTAACCAAGAGAGGATCGGAGAAGTGACACTCTGTGACTCTGAGACTAGATTCTAAAAGGCAATGCAGTTTCCTGCTGGCTTTTCCTCAGGACACTCTCTCTTGGAAAGCAGTGGCCATGCCATCAGGAAGCCTTGACCATGTGGTGAAGCCCCAGCTGAAGTCCTAGCCCCAGTAATCCCCAGACTGTAAGAGATAATAAGAATGAATGATTTTTGGTCTTTCATGCCTCTAAAGTTGTGAGTGTTTGTTACAAAGCAACAGCTATATAACTATCTACCAAAGACCTGAACTGTAAACCAGGAAGCCAGTTACTTTACAAGGATTAGGTCTTTCCAAAGACTACTTACTCCATCCTCAGCAGCCCCCTCCAGTATCCAGGTCCCTTAGAGGCTACTGGATGAATAAGAAAACAGAGCACAGAGACCCACAGGCCTGGTGACACCTACTGAAGCTTCTGCCCCAAGCTGTGTGCACCAGTGACTGTCATTTCCCTTCCCACCCAGCCCCCAGTGCTGTCTCATTCCTTCTGGAGAGGGTTTACGTCTACCTATCTCCTGCTCTTAATAGTCAATCTTTCCTAGATAAAGCAAGCACAACAGATTCATGTTCTTCTAGGTTAATATGCTTACTATGTTCAGCCTCACAGAAGTTACTACAGATGTCCTGATACAACACACTGATTCACTGGGGACATCTCTCCTCAGTCAGTAATTTACTAATTATTCATTATTCTGACTTCACCCTCTCCCTTTTGATTCTCCTTCATTGTAGTCTGAGAGGTTAACTTATCTCTGAGTTGTGACTGCCTTAGTGACATCCATGGACTGATATACATGGTGCGCCCCACATATCAGCCAAAAGCAATGCCTAGTGTCCTGTCTGGGTGCCAGCCAAAGGGTGCTGATGCATCATATCTTGAGAAACCGTGACGTTTAGCGCATGTAGCTGTTATATTTTCATTCTGAGGCACATGGGGCTGATTTGCTGCGTTGAGCCACACTTTAGCATAACCCCTCTGGTTACTCTCGGTCCCTTGTTATAGAACCAACAGGTTCATGTTCCCATTGTGCAGTAACAGATCCATTACACAGAGACAGCAGGGTTTGCAGCAGAGAAAGTTTGAGAATCACAGGGTGCCAAGCAAGGAGATGGGTGGAGACTCTCAAATCCATCTCCCCAAGGAGTTCTTGGCTGGGGCTTTTAAGGGGACCATGAAGAGCAAGGGATGGGTAATTGGGGCCGCTGATTGGTCAGGGAGGCGGATAAAATCATCAGGATGTGAAAACTGCATTCTTTGGTGAGGCAGCCTCTTGTGGGGTCCATTGGACCAGCTGAGACAGTAGTTTCATCAAGATGCAGAAACTAAAGGAGTAGCTCAAAGACACAACTGAATGTTTCATAATTCTCAAGTTGTTTTCTATAGAGCAGTTAAGGGGAACTATAATCTTGTAACAGGGTCTACATGATCCTAGGACAACAATAGTTGTTCCTCAGACAACTCTGAGGAAGCAGATCAGAGCTGGCTACCCTCATGGTCAATGCTGAATGTGATGCAAGCTGGGTTTATTTTAATGTCTCCCCCTTCCATATTCTCTGATTAATTTTATAAAGTTGATGGGGTCAGTTCCACCCTTTTATTCAATTTTCTGTTCTTTTTTTTTTGAGATGGAGTCTTACTCTGTTGCCCAGGCTGGAGTGCAATGGTGTGATCTCGGCTCACCACAACCTCTAACTCCCGGGTTCAAGTGATTCTCCTGCCTCAGCCTCCCAAGTGGCTGGAATTACAGGCCTGTGCTACCACGCCCAGCTAAGTTTGCACTTTTAGTAGAGATGGGGTTTCTCCACGTTGATCAGGCTGGTCTCGAACCCCTGACCTCAGGTGATCTGCCCACCTCGACCTCCCAAAGTGCTGGGATTATAGGCATGAGCCACTGTGCCCAGCTCCTTTTTAAATCTTTCTACTCCCTTTCTCCTCAATCTTATGTCATGGCACTCTCACGTAAGTACTAGCTGCACTGACAAACTGCTTCAGTTCTTTTAGGGAAGCAACAAAGGTTAAATCCTTACTTTTGGCTCAGAACTTTCTTCAGTTCTCAGACATGTGACATCTTGGAGCCTCAGTTTCCTCATCTGCAAAATGGCAACAGCCACTATTGTCACTTGTTTTCTTCCCAAAATGTTCAAATAATTTCATGTGGGTGAGAACACGATGAAAGGCTTGGCAAGCCACACGAATGTCAGGAAAACATGCAGATAATTTCCTACAAGAATAATTAGGCATTCACTTTCATTCATCCAAATGCCACCTTTGTTCCTTTCTTGCAAGTTAAGAGACATGTCAGGTGCAGAATTCTTAGGGATCAGGGTTTTCTTTTTGCTGGGCAAGAAAAATATACCCTCAAGTGCTTTGGGCAAATAGTTAATTCGGTTTTCCTGTGCTCTACAATTAAAGCCTTATCTGGAATAGTTATGGCTTTGTATCCTTTCAGCCATTTTGATGCTAATCAAGAAAAGTTCAGCAAGGATGAAACTCTAAATATCTAGTACTTTATTTCATGAGCATCTTCATTAATAGTTATGGCTCATTACATGACTGGCCTTCTCAAAAGCAAGAGGAGGCAGATGTGACACAAGCCCTTGGAGAAGGAAATTTGGAACCCCAAATAAGTAAATTTCATCAACAATCTCACATGAAATGACTGTGGGATGCAGGCAAATGTTCCCCTGCCTTCCAGCAGGAGGGCTTTGTCCTCGTGTGTAACCTTTCAAAGGCCCTGGCTCCTGAGAGCCATTTTTCTCCACAGCAAGGATGCTTTTGCAGCTGCTGTAAGGTGCAGGGATTTCATTTTAAATACAAAATATGCTCCAGTTTCTGTAAGAACCTGCAGCTGTTTGGCCACTCTGTGCAAGAGGCTGAATGTTGCGCATTGTCCCTGGGGCTGCTTTAGACCAAAAGCAAAATATTTTCCACTTCCAAGAATTGGTGAAGGGCCACCTATCAGATGAATGTAAAATAGTTCTCCAATTAAGCTCCATACCTACAGAATCCACTTTGAATGTGAGAAGAAAGGGGCACAAGTTAGCAGAGCTGTTCTTGAAAAACGCTGTTCTCGAGATGACAAAGCTCTGTTCAGAGCAGCCTACAGCCCTATTTCTGAAGAAGGAAATACCTGCATTCAGGAGGAGGACTGCAAAATCCTCATTCCCTCTAGGCAAAAGGAGAGAGAAAAGTTGGGATTGTTCAGTGTTCTTATCTAACGCTGAACATCTAGAAGAAGTGAATGCCTAACTCACAAGTAGTGTACATGGTCAGTAGGCAATAAATGTTATTGAAGGAATGAGCTAATGAATACCGCAAAATGCTAACATTTTAGCTGTAAAAGTGATTTTCTTTACAAAACTCCATCAGCCTGAGTTCAAACTGTTCTTTATGGTTCTGAGATGGATGGCAGGAGAAGGGGTAGGCTCACCTGGAAGTCCACCTGGCAGGCTAGCTGCAGCAAACCCGGCAATACTGGGGTGAGACTTGGCATTTAATGGGATCAGAGGTCCCGGCAGGCTTTCCGTAGATCCCGTGACCTCTTCTATTCATGCACTTCAGGAACAACTATTGGCCAAATGCTGGTTTATTGCCAGGCTATCACTTTTTCTTCTTTTCAAATTATTCGGAATTGACCGCACCAAGTTAGCCACATTCCAAACACTTGCACCAATTATCTGTAACACCAAATGTCAAATCATGGCGTTTAGTTGTGTTCTGGAGAAATATCTGAGTCATGATTCTAGATTAGGGAAATCTATAGAAAAAGAAGTCATGGCATGATTACCATTGTCTTCAACCTCTTCTGTCTCGCTTTTGTTTCTGTTAGAGACGGAATAGAATCAAAATGTCAAGGTCTTGCTTTATGCCATTTGGTTGTCACATATAGCCATTTCATTTTTCCCCTTTCAGATGGGACTCAGGTGGCAAGGTGGCAACCTTCAGCAAAATACTTTGCACAGAACCAAGAAGTCCTTGAGAGGGGTGCCCTTTGGGGCCTAGGACACAAGGTTACACAAGAGGGTTTGGTGCACAGAGGTGCTGCATTTGAGCCCCTTCCTCTCTGTGTTCCAAACTGGAGGTTCTGTGATCTGTCACAGTGTACTTTCTACAGGTAACACGCTGAATGCCAAAGTCAGCTGTCACGTAGGTGTTCGATGGTATCTTTTTTGGTGTGTGGAGCACCTTAGAGACAAGGTAGGACTGAAGCCTGCAGTCTCCCAGAGTGGGACACCAGGACCCCAATAGTAAATGTCTTAACGCAAAGCTGTGACTCGCAGGCATCTGTCGGGAATCCTCATCTCACTGCATTTGCCCAAGAGCTGAAGGGACTTTTACAATAACGCCCTTCAAACTGGAAGGGAGTGACCATTTAAGATCCTTGTAAGGCATACTAAGAAGATAAAGGAAGGAGGAAGAGCCAGGAGAAGGGAAAGGGAATATTCCATCAGCCACTCTCTTCCTTTGAACCTAACCAGACAGCCTCAGCAAGATCACAGATCTTAGAGTCCTTGAGGCAGCTGTGACATCCAGGGGTCTCTCTGGACAACTCCTGCCCAAAGATGTCCTTCATACACTGAACAGCTGCTCCAATCTGACACTACTTCTCTTCTCCACATCTCTGAGCTTCTTTCCAGTGACGTCCCTCATCTTAGGCTGGTGCTGATGAAACCCAACCGCATCACTTAGGCCTCTTTTTTTAGCTTCTTTTTATTATGAACCTTTTCCTCTGAACACATTTAAGGGGGCGGTGCAAAAGTGTACATGTGAACTTTTGCTTGTCTGAATTGAGAAAATGACGAAGCATTAGGAACGTCCTAGTTTTGAATATGCAGTATCAGCAGATCCTTCTGTGCAACTCTCCCAGAAAGGGTGCGACTCTGCGCATGCATGCCTGTGCCATCTTGGCACCTCCTCCCTCAGGTCCCCTCTGTCAGCTCAGCCTAATGACTGGTCCTCACCGATTGTTCCTGAGTGGAACTGAGATATTAAGGTACATTTTCTAAATGTGGAGTTTCCTATTCAGGACTTCCCAACTCATTCCTGTACCACCCCACTAGAAGGAATACGGACAGACTCACTCACTAAAATGGTGAGGCGAGTGCCCGCAGCCGGCCAGGCTGAGCCGTTTCTGAAGCTCAGAGCAGCTATGACTCATCCCTCCTCCAGTCCGTTAACTTCCCACTCCTGTCACTAGACCAGCTACTCCTCGCGCTCTGACTCCTACAAACCCACTTATTTTCAAATTTGCTCAATAACCATGACATTCAAACCCAACATGCTCCATGCACAGGATGCTGTGAAAACACACGGTGAGAATTAAGGGTCCACAGAAGAAATAATGGCCACAGAGCGAGGATTGTTTCCTTGGATGCTGGGTGATGAGAAGTAACTGCTAGTAAGAGACAATAGCAAGTTTTAGGACATGTGCCATCTGGCCCAATTGAGTTAAGGGAATGCAGTCATCCTAACTGGTGGTTTTTGGAAAGCCACACAACATTTTAATTGAATGCACAGGCTCCTGCATGATTAGGAACATAATACTTTGGTGCCCAGGCCGGATTGAGCTGGTAACAATGAGCTGAAATGGCTTCCTGCCATGAAGCAGAGAAGCTCAAGCTTATTCTCCCTGTGACACTTCCAGGCCCTGTTGCAAAGTCACAAAAGAAACTCAGGAAGCCAATTTTCAGAGGTTTAGAGCTTTCCTGCATGGTTCTAACTAACTGTGTGATACAAAAATGCAATGACTGCATAAGGAGGATTGCAGCTGGATTTTGGAGAAACTCTCTGAAGAGTGGACAAGAGGAACCAGCAGTCTGGTGCAAAGTCACTAAAGCAAGTAGCAAGTAGTACCACTTCCTCCCATCCTCCCATCAGACACCATGGATTTACAGGGGTCTCCAGTCATGCAGCCACTTCACAGTTTGCATCTTAAGCCCACCCAAGATATTGTCAATAAGATATTGTCTTGAATTCCCAGCCAGAGTCCAGGGGATACAGACGTTTCCAACACTTTGAAAACAGGAAATATTCAACAGAGTCATTCAGCAAATATTTATTCAGTGCCTACCACATTCCAGTGACTGGTAATTGGCGTGGATATCAGTCCAATAAAATTAACCATTGGACTAACATTGGGAACCCCTAAGAGACATATTCAACATGAGCCTGAATTAAAAACACAACTAATTGGCAGGGCACGGTGGCTCATGCCTGGCACTTTGGGAGGCCAAGGCGGACGGATCACAAGATGAAGAGATAGAGACCATCCTGGTTAACATGGTGAAACCCAGTCTCTACTAAAAATACAGAAATTAGCCAGGCATGGTGGTGTACGCCTGTAGTCCCAGCTACTCGAGAGGCTGAGGCAGGAGAATTGCTTGAACCCAGCAGGCAGAGGTTGTGGTGAGTCAAGATCATGCCTCTGCACTCCAGCCTGGCAACAGAGCGAGACTCCATCTCCAAAAAGGAAAACAAAAAGAGAGATGGAAAATATAACTGATTTTCCATATTGTGATTTTTAAAATGCATTTGCTTTAAAAGTTAAATCAAATGGGCCTTTCACTTGAAACTCAGATCTGGCCATTTCTATGCGACTGTCAGTGGAAACTCACTGAGGCGGCCCTCAGAGCAGCTCTTTCATCTCAGCGTGTTTACACCTGAACTTCCTGATGAATCACAATTATTGATTAGTATATGTTGCATCCCAGGGATGCTTGATTGTGGTGGATAAGCCTTTTTACATGCTGCTGGATGTGGTATGTCAGTATTTTATTGAGGATTTTTGCATCAATGTTCATCAAGGATACTGGCCTGAATTATTATTTTTTGTTGTTGTTGTGTCTCTGCCAGGTTTTGGTATCAGGATGATGCTGGTCTCATAGAATGAGTTGAGGAGGAATCCTTCCTTTTCAATTTTTTTGGAATAGTTTCAGTAGAAATGGTACCAGCTCTTCTTTATACCTCTGGGAGAATTCTCAGCTGTAAATCTGTCTGGTCCTGGCTTTTTTTGGTTGGCAGGTTATTTATTGCTGCCTAAATTTCAAAACTTGTTACTGGTCTATTCTGAGATTCAATTTCTTCCTAGTTGAGTCTTGAGTGGGTGTATATGTTCAGGAATTTATCCATTTCTTGTAGATTGTCTAGTTTATGTGCATGAAGGTATTTATAGTATTCTCTGGTAATTGTTTGTATTTCTGGGGAATCAGTAGTGATAGCCCCCTTATCATTTCTAATTACGTATATTTGAATCTTCTCTCTTTTCTTCTCTGTTAGTCTAGCTAGTGGTCTATATATTTTATCAATTTTTTCAAAAAACCAGCTCCTGGATTTGTTAATTTTTTGAAGGGATTTTTGCATCTCTATCTCCTTCAGTTCTGCTCTGACCTTGGTTATTTCTTGTCTTCTGCTTGGGGTTGGTTTGCTCTTGGTTCTCTAGTCCTTTTAGTTGTAATGTTATGTTTAGTTGTTAACTTGAGATCTTCCTAGCTTTTTGATGTGGACATTTAGTACTATGAATTTCCCTTTTAACACTTCTTTAGCTACAACCCAGAGATTCTGGTATATTGTATCTTTGTTCTCACTAGTTTTAAACAACTTCTTGAGTTCTGCCTTAATTTCATCTTTTACCCAAGAGTTATTCAGGTGCAGGTTGTTCAATTTCCATGTAGTTGTGTGGTTTGGAGTAAATTTCTTAATTTTGAGTTCTAATCTGGTTGTACTGTAGTCTGAGAGACTGTTACGATTTCAGTTCTTTTGCATTTGGTGAGGAGTGTTTTACTTCCAATTATATGATCAACTTTAGAGTAAGTGCCACATGACAATGAGAAGAATGTATATTCTGTTGTTCTGGGGACAAAGCCCACATTTTTTGCAAACTCCAACAAGATTAAAGGCAAGATTATTATAAGCAGAGCTGTCTTGAGCTGTAGTGATGAAGAAGAGATCCTGGTTGTGAGAAGTTAGTGTGCCCACAAGGATAGAGAACAGGGACTTTTGTCTGGTAGTGGAATTGTTTCGTATCCTGTTTATGGAGATGGTTTGTAGGGATGAACTTATACATGTATTAAAATTCATAGAAGGTACACCCCCACAAAAAGTCCATCTGCAGTATAATTTTTTTTTTTCAGACAGAGTCTTGCTCTGTCACCCACGCTGGAGTGCAATGGCATGATTTCAGCTCACTGCAACTTCCGCCTTCCAGGTTCAAGCGGTTCTCCTGCCTCAGCCTCCTGAGTAGCTGGAACTACAGATGCGCACCACCATATCCAGCTAATTTTTGTATTTTTAGTAGAGATGGGGTTTCACCATGTTGTCTATAACTATCTCAATCTCTTGACCTCGGCCTCCCAAAGTGCTGGGATTACAGGCATGAGCCACTGCACTGGGCCTTAAAAGTTTTTTTAAAAACAGAGCTGCTTCAACCGAAAAATTTTCTGCTATTCAATGTGGATGACACTGAAATTGACCCAAAAACTTAAAAGTAAAAATCTAAGCTACCTTTCCTTCTCTAGAACTGTACTCGGTCATCCGTAGGCAAAGCTGTGCCTACACAAAGGCCCCTCCCTACCTACCAACACCTTTTCTGAGCATCCCTTTCCTCTCTGGATCCTCCCACACAGCTCTGCAAACAGGGCATGCATGGGCCCATGCTGCCTTCCCCATAAATGCACA